AAGATTTTTAAAGTTGCAATAACTAAATGTATGTATGAACATATGCATTCACAAAATACACACGCCCCCAAAGAAATATCTTTATTCGTTTACAAATGCTTTTATTAGATTCTTTATTTCTTGTAATAATTTGCCTCTATTGAAAACTGCTCTCGGCAAATGATTTCTCGTGTCTACTAGTTTACCTTTCAAGAATAAAATTCTAATAAGTCAAATTTCAGATGTTGAAAACTGACTTACAGCAACATTACAGTTGCAGGAAAGATATTTTATAAAGATATTTTTATTAATTTATTTGAATTAAAATAAATAAACGCTATTTAGATTGCGAATAATATACTATTCATTTTATAATATTCACGCTAAGTCTTGTAGTTTCGAAGGCACAGATGTTATCAAATGTATATACAAAGGAAATACACTTTGAAAATATTCCAAATTCCCAAATTATATTTTTAAACTAAAAAAATATTTTTTCTAGTAGGTTCAACAGAAAATACTGGTACAATTCAATGTTACCATGCAACGAATCAAAAATATGGTCAACTGGAGTGACGTCCCTTTGATCGACTCAGAAGTGTGTCAAATGTTTACTTTGAAAGTCCTTTGTAATATTATTTATTCGCTGTTAACATTGCATATTTCACGTTTCACCAATATAAGTCTTCTTACAAGAGAAAATGTGTTTTTATTAATTTGATTTAAGTTATGTCATATTTGCATGAGTTATGGCTAATGTTCTTAAATTCAAAGTGTACACAGATATCTGTTTAAACATGCAGCTTTCAGTGAAATTTCGTTCTGGTTTTAAACATTTTCTTTTCTTTTAAATGAATAAATTGAATGCGAATGCAGCTTTTATTTTAAATTCAATACTTGTCTTTATATTATCCGGTCTCTTCCATCTAATGCCATTCTTGGTTGTTTTGATGATGACTCTCATTTGTCACTCATTGATGTTTATGATCTATTTTTCATAGTAGAAATAGACAGAGTACTGTACAGAATGGAAAATCCAATGAAAAGAGACACTTGCCTGATACAGATTTAATCATCTTTCAACACTGAATAAGAATGTAAGAATAACAAAAACTCTCATAAAGGGAGTTATTATTTCGCACTCACTAAAAATGAACAAGAAAGCATTTAGAACTGTTTTTTATAAATGTAATTCTTATATTCTTATAATAGTTTGAAATACTTATCTTTACCAGACTCTTCAAATTCGGAGGACTGAGGAAGAAGGAAAGAAATTTGCGAGCCTTTGTGAGATTTTTGCCTTTCACAGAAATTAACCGGTGAGGTGAAGAAGAAGAAGAAGGAAAGAAATTCGAGAGTATATGTGAAATTGTTTTTGGACCCATGTAAACCTTTCCTTCACAGAAATTGACGAGGCATGATAAATCAACTGTTTATTTTAATCCCTAAACCCCAGGCCACTATAATTCTCAGACAACAGAAGAACATGTGAATCCTTTAATGAAAGATAGATTTATAAGAATGAGTCGACATTTGTAAACAAACATGTTTATCTCATAATTGTTAGGCAATAAACATTAAATCTTTCATGTGATTATAAATAAGTAATTATTAATGATTCATTTTAATGATTAAATGTTTGGAAATAATGAAGGCCTTTTGCAAAATAAGGTAAATTACTGCACGAACCATATTTGCATCAACCGTTTCAACGTTCTCTTCGGAATGTATATCTGGAAATAAATACAAGGTTTAAGTTCAATAGAAAGCATTATTCTTCAAATATATATATATATATATATATATATATATATATATATATAGGAGCGTTCGGTTAGTTTACATTTGATACGCCATGAGCAGATATGAATGTACGTGTGAGATTCATGAAAGATTGAAGTTTATATATATATATATATATTAGTAGAAATAAGCAGCTCTTGACATGAGTCTGCCATGAATGCACAGCGGAATGAAAATATAAAATGGCAGAGCTTTTATGAATTGTGAATTAAATTTCAGGCTGACAGTGTCCAACCACTATTGTAAGTTTCGTGAATTTATGCAAATGTCAGGCGACTGGCATCTGTAATGCGAAAATGGGAACTTTTATTCCCCCAGGAAGGACTGAGATGAAAAAATATGTGGTCGTGGTGTATTAGCCTAATGCTTTCAGGCAAAAAGCGCTCAACAGAACCGAATTCCTAAACACACCCACGGTAGAGCTTTCTAATATTAATAGAAATAAGCAGCTCTTAAAATGAGTCTTCATTTTTTTTTCCATCTCAGAATTTCCTGGGGAAATAAGTGTTCTTATTTTCACATTACAGCTGCCGACCGCCTGACGATTGCGTAAAAGCATGAAACTTACAATAGTGGTCGGACACTATAAGCCTGAAATTTAATTCGTAATTTATATATGAAGGACAGGTGTTTATGAGTGTGGGTGTGTATGTTTGCTTCATAAAAAATGAATAAGAAAGTACTTCTGTTAAGTTTTTATTGTATTTTTGCGAACAAGAGAATTCTTTTGGGAACTTCGTGAGTGTAGAAATTGTCTGAACATCTCCATATATATAACATTTCGATGTAACAAGCGTTTGTTCTATTTTCTCCCAGACTCCTTATTTTTATATAAAAATGTTTCCATCGATAGAATTATTAGTCTGAAAAAGTTTTTTGATCGCTACGAAACGCGTCACGATGTTTTTCCATATATATATAATCCTTCCTTTATGCATGTTTCATTAAAAACTAACCGTATTCGGAAATTAAAACATCACTACCACACACCGAACATACACAGAACACACACACTCTACTAAGCTGATAATTGAATCATCCTTGATAATGGCTAAAGGTATAGCCGAAAGCGCTCGGAAATACAGAACATTCGGACAGTTCTTACACACTCTTTGTCCAGAAAAGAAAGCTCTTGTTAGAACACAAGAAAAATTAAATAAAAAGCTCAACCGTAGTACCTTGTCTGTCGTTTTAATGAAACATGCATGCATATATATATATATATATATATATATATATATATATATATATATATATATATATATATATATATATATATATATATATATATACATTTCCATATATATATATATATATTTCCTGTTTATAAGTTATTTATTTATTAATTAATAGACCCTTGAGTAAAAAGTAGTAATTTGAGTGTTACTTAATCTGAAGTACTCTGTGCATGAACGGTCATATAACGACAGGCTTAATGGTGGCTTCGTATAGGATACAGGTTCGATTCCTCTCGGAGAACTCATATTTTCTACGAAATTTCCCAAGCTTTCAGGCCGGTAAATATAATTAATATTATTCAATTAAAGAACAGAGCATAAACAGAATACACACACACACATATATATATATATTGAGGCATGACTCTTTAGACAAGGTTTTTTTACTTATTCTTAATAGGATCCTATCATATGTTTCTTAGTATTATTATTAAAGGAAGAAAAAAATTACTATGTTGATGTATATCTATTTTATTTCTAAGTACTTTCGACATTAGCACAATGTAATCTTCAGGGTCTTGTTTTTGCTAAGACAAAATTGCTGTGTTCATCTGAAAATTATTTTTTTTACTTGTGAAGTGAAAACGCTGAACCATACACTGTACAATTTTAAAATTTTTATGATGCAAACATACGCGTGCAGTAACATCAAAGGAGTTTACTAACTTAATGATATCTTTTTTAAGGATTTAAAGTTATTAGTTATAAACTAGATATTTTATATCATCTACTGTAAACCTTTTAAATCATTTGTACAGTATTCATAATTAATTTTATTAAGGGTTGGTTTCAATTTTTTTTTAAATAAGATAGCTTCTACAATTTTTAGTTTATTTTCATTATTTTCATAAAAAAGTACAGATGTATTTTCGACAAAAACTTTTCTAAGTTGCGAATGTGGACAGGCATGCCGTGGTAAATTTTGAGGGATGTTAGATGCATCAATCATATGAAAACTAAATGTTTTATACAATATAGTTGTGGTGTAACCAACATGTATATATATATATATTTTTTTTTTTCTGCTGGAGATGCAATCTCCCAACTAACGCTTAGTGAATACTTAAAATGGTACAGAAATCTTCATTACTTAGTTACTGAAAACGGCAGAGAAACTTATTCATTTAATTGCTTAAATATTTTTGAAAAATATATGAAGACTGCAAGTTCCAAATCTTAGATAATTATTGAAAATGAAACAGAATCCGATATTCACTCCGTGAAAACTTTCAATACTTATTGAAAATGGTTCGGGAACCATTACATATCCTCGTAGATGTTTCATAAAAATGGTACGGAAAATATGAATTCCTACTGTTAGATGCTTCTTGTAAATGTTATGAAACTTAATTCCAACATATAGAAACTTCTTCAATGTTATACAGAAACCGTTACTTAAAAATTATAGGGAAACTCATTATTAATTCTTACATACGAGGATGGGTAAAGTTAATTTCGAAGTGGTAAAAATAACAAGGAAGCACTGACGAGCGACACCAGGCATGCGCATGGGATATTATATAGCTGCAGCTTGCAGCATTCTATTGTTCAGTTAAGTAACGAAGCAGGGAATAACGAAGCACGGGGCAACTTTTAGATATTTCTTGAAAATGGCACATCTGTAAGAATGATTATTGAAAATGGTATGGCAAAATCTATTATAACTCTTTGGTACATTTTGAAACATGGAATGAAACTATTACTTTCAACTCATTATGTAAAGCTCTTAATTTCCAAGTATAAAATGTTATACAGAAGGTCACTTCTAGTTCCTGAATGATTCTCGAAAATATTACTAAATAATAAAGAGCATACTGTAAATTCAAAATTACAAAATAATGATTCAAAAATAGTAGGACTAAAAAATTCATCGGGGTTCAATGTGTAGATGAAAGGAACTCACCTCCCACGTTTAACGTGTATTGAAGCGGATGTGTAATGCTGAACCACTCAGAACAAGTTTCGAAATTCAAAAATACATTAGACACCAGGGTATGGTCGGTGCATCGAGCAACTGAAGATTTCTGATAAGTAACGACAAACATGAAAAAAAAAAATGGATGAAATAAATGACACTATTTACAATATTCTGCCTAAAGCAAATTCAGATATGGCTTGTATTTATATTTTACTTCCAATATTAAGGATTTTGGAACCTGAACGATACGTTAGACTTTTATTTATTTATTTTTTTAATTAGCAAGGCAATAAAATCATTAAGTCACCAGTGGTTACAGGGTGTGGAAGAATTACGAACAGAAACATTAATGAGCGGGAAGAGAAACAAGTAATTAAGAGGGCAGTAGTTATAGCGATTGACATTGCATTTAAATTTTTGCAGACTAAAGTTGACTGGAAAGCATGGATCCGGAAGGCAGTTCCGCAAGCAAGAGGTGCGAGAGAAGAAACTGATAACATAGAGCTTACGGCTGCATCTATACAGCTTTTTAAAAAAAAGTCTAGGTACAATCATGAAGAGCTCACCTGAACAATTACTATGAAAGTATTTATAAAAAAGACACAGAGAAGCAAACTTTATGGTGTTGGGAAAGTGAATGAAACCGAGCCTCTAGATCAGGACCAATAATATTGCTTGTTATACTGAACTATATTAAACAATAATAATAATTCAAACATTCTAAACTTAATGAAAATTTTTCTTGATTTTCCCGGTTTCTAATTCACTCAGTAAATACTTGCTTTTTAACTTTTGACTATAATAGCAGGTTGAAAGTAATTGAAAACATAATCTAAATTCTGAGCTCAGTAAATTTAAGCTATTGACTGTTACTGAGTCAAACTAAAAACTGGACAAGTTGATCGGGGTTAATTTTTACTATCTGTTTAACTGAGTGCACTTTTGGCTTACTAATAATTATTTGGCAATTAAAAATTATGAGTGCAATAACGTTGAATCAGTACGTAAGCAGTTACAAAGAAAACAAAAACCTACCCAGAACAACAATTAAGCAATTGAATCCTATTAGCAGGCTTATTTTCCCCAGTAAAACCTTACTTAATTTTACTTGTATAATGAAGACTGCTTACGTTATCATAAGATACTTTTAAATACAATGTTTCCAATTTAGTAATTTACTTTCAATAGAAAGATAAAAAATACACACGAAACTTTTAGTAAAAATAAGAATTATGAAGTTTTAAACATATGTGACACTATTACTAGTGTGAATTTTGCAAGCAAGTGAAATCTAGAATTGGTAAATAGTCGGAATATTTTAACCTTACTGGTTTAATGTGAAAGGCCTAGAATGCCTCTCTAGGTTGCACAAGAAATACATCAAGATTACATGTTTTTAAAAAATGGAATCCTTTATTTTGAACAAATGTTTTATGTTTGAAAGAAATGGAAAAAAACAAAATTCATTTTATACCTGTATAAGGCCCTGAAGTTGTTTGATGGGAATGAGCAAATAATACTGAATAGAGTTATGTGTTCCGCCGGATAAAGAGAGATTTATGAATTTAATTTCTGATTTGAAGGGAAACTGTGTTGAGTATAGAAAGGACATTTGAAATCCGTTATTATAAAAATAAAATACAGTGTTAATTATAGGTTTCTAAAGGAAATCAGGTATTTAAAAAGGTTTTTAAAAATCTTGTATTAATTATAGGTTTCTACCTATAACTCATTAATACCCATCTTGTCATTTTCCCAATTGTCACCAGAAGAAACTATAAGATAGCCGGAACCACTAATCACATTTTTTAACCACCCTTGCAAGATGAACTTAAGAATTTTTGCTTGAAAAACAGTCAAAATTTCGATTGCATGCTCGATATGCTAGTTTCCTATTCGTAACAATGTAACAAACTAATGATGGTTGCCCATGTTAGAGTTAGGAAAACCACAGCACAGCCGAAGGGTTAATGTCCAAACTGACAACCATAACTGAATAAACGCCACTGTTGTAATTACAATAAACAGGCGTTTTTTTCTCTAGTCAGAAAATTTTTCTTCGTCCATATCTTAACGTTGTAAGTTCTGTGTTTTCTCCAAATGTAGTTAAAGCTATTCTTCAATTCCATTTAGGACACCGCTCCTTTCTTTGTCAAATCCGTGTAACCACGCAACGCAAAGCCACCTGTGATATGTGTTTACAAGTATATCAAGTCATTGTTGAAAAATACGATATAAGACAAGATAAAACTTGGTATAACCTGGTTTCTGTTTAAGAGAACTTAACATTTATAGCCTTCAGTGATGAAAAAATGCATTGGAAGTACTTTTAAAGTCCTCCAATATCTTATAAATAACAGCAAATTTGCCACGAAGCACATTTCTTTTATTTTACTTTAATGATAAAAATGTTCACATATTTCCCTTCGCATTATATAGTGAATATATATTGTTGTTATTAGGATCGATGCGAAGAAATGGTATTGTAGTATATGTTGGATGGGAGGCAGAAGAATGGGTTCTTGTAGTGATTAAGGAAATTGTTAGGGTCGTGAGTCGGATTAGCTAGGTGTAGAATACATAGTGTTTACTAGACTTTTCCCACTTCCCCTTCGGCTTCATGTCACAAATTAATATATCCACATCAATTAAATAAACATAATGATTGAATTTTTTAATTACTGTATTTTCTAATTGTAATGAAATCCACTTTTCTCAAAATTTACATCTTTTAAGCAATTTTTGCTTTGTTTTTTCTTTAATCTCTATCTCTCTCCTTGTAAATAGTATTTACCCTTTATCCTTCTTTTTACAGAACGGATCCTCTGGCCTGGACATTTTCATTTATGATTGTTATCTTTTCAGCCGTCACCATTTGATTGGGTACAAATCCTCTGTTCGGGTCTGGATGCGTTCCCCTACTGATATACGTCAGACATCTTGTATTCCGCTACTTGACCTCATCTTCGAGGTGGTTTTCCTGTTTTCCAAGTAGATATTCACCCTCGGGCTAAACGGATGGTGAGTATTCATGGCAGTTAGAGAGAAAATGGTGCAGGAAATGTAGTTACTGACATTCCAACCCAGAATTAAAAAAAAAAAAAAGCATAATTTTCTGACATAATTAAACGCATACACACCTACTTATTTATTCAGAGCAGTACGTACGTGCTTGCATATATGGTGTCATAAAAATAAATTGATAAGCACAAGACTCGTACATAGATGCACCATTGAAAGTTAGTGTATAAATAGATTTCAAAATATATTGCAACACAAGCGCATATATACATCAAAATAAATCTGTACATTTCAAGCATATATTCAAAAATAATATAATCAACATATATTCAAAAATAAAAATGATATCCGAAAACATATAGACAGTTATTCATAATTTATTTTGCAAAGTGCTTTTTTTTCTTATTCAAACTCCAACACTAAATTTATAAAATCTGTGCAAAGGAAATATTCTGAGAATTCGATTAACGAATAAATTAGTGTATTTGGCTTAAATTCTCTTTTCAGACAGGCAAAAGGCTGAATTTTTTTTGTGGGGATTGTCTGCCAGGACGTCCAGTATGTGACACTGATTCAGGACTATGAAAGAAAAAAAAACATAAACGCCTCTTTCTCTTTTTCGCTCAAATCTAGTCTTCCTGTAGAATGATACTCCTCGGTCAGCCGACTACTTAATTTCAACCCTACTACGCATCACATATACTCTCTCTCTCTCTCTCTCTCTCTCTCTCACCAATAAATATTTTAGTTACTGATTAGTTTTTGATTATGTGAATATATTTTTTCTCTTTTTTGTTATTCTTTATATATATATATATATATATATATATATATATATATGAAAAATTTTCCCGCGTGTTTTGAATTAATTTCTTTTGAGAGTTTTCAAGTGTAAATCGCAGCCATCACAAACTTTATCTAACGTCGGTAACGTTGATTTGCTTTGAAATTTCTTATCACGTCATGAAATACAAAGTGTTAGCCTATCTTTAACATATTAAGATAATATTTTGTATAGACACTCTTACAGATAATAAGGTAGACAATAAGTCATGTGAAATACTGTATTTCAGAAATGAACCATATTACTTGGAAGAGCATTGCTTTATTTCTCAAAAAACATTCTTAATAATTTACAATGAAGTAAAACTAATTCATCAGTAAGGAAGATCTTTACAGAAATATTTACTAGAAATCATTTTCTAAAAGAAAATACATCCTATATATATAGTCTATCTTAATTCCTGAATAATAATAATCCACTCTTTCTTTAATATACACTCTATTTCTACAATAATACTATAATTCTATAATTTACTCTTTCTAGATATTTATTATGCAAAAATTACATAATTGTGGCACAAGGCCGAAAAAAGGGAAGGGTTAAGGCTGGTCCACACTAACTATCTTATTTGATTCACGACCCATTCACTCATTACAATTTACCCATTCACCATAAGAACTCGTCCATCACCAATCAATCCTCCATGCACCATAATACCACATCCTCTCTAGGAGGACCTACAAAACGCGCCCCATGCCATAAAAATTTAATAATAGTAAAATATATATCAAACCTGTGATGAAAAAATGAGAGGGAAGGGAGATGAACCCAGTAACAAACTGAAATATTAACAGAAATCAAATTAAACAACTGATGTCAGTAGGGCCCGTGCATCCCTTAAAAAGGAGAGGCCGCTGTATTCTGCCCATGGGATAAAATCAAGAAGCTCTCTCACTACGGGTGTGGGAAAAGGATAAAAAATAATACGGGCATGGGAAATATGAAGCTGACCCTGTCGAGATGAAAAAGGACGGGCCAAAACGAACTGGGTGGGGGGATCTCAACTTGAATCATAACCAAAGAGGCAGCCGGGAACAGGCCAGGAACAACACTTACATTAACTAGGTACCCTAAAGCTTGTCTAATCCCAACCAAGGGGATGGCTCCGCAGGAAACCACCCTGATGTGATGTAGGTTGACCTGAAAGTGAAAAATCAAGGCTAGCCCCATTCAAACAAACCAAGCTCGCCTCTTTCACCCACCTTTCGCTGAAGACTGTCGAATGCAAGCGTTTTCTATCA